AGAGCTTAATAAAGGGTTAAATGTTTTGATACTTAAGCTATATTTTGGTCGTAAGCAGGTGACAAATAGAGCTAAAAGAGCTCAAGCAACAGTGAGAATTGTTGATAAGTGCAGCAATGGAGGTCAAGATTTAGATGCAGCGGTCTTCCGGCACATTGACACTGATGGAAAGAGGCAATGCACAAGACCACCTTTTGGTAGATTACCAACTTGTCAACTGTTGAGTTTGAAACACTTTCGAGCATATTTTATGATGTAACAATAACAGAATTTCCTCTTATAAATCAAGCTACTTATAAAGAAATGAAATTGATGCTCTTATTGCATTGGGGAAAAACTAAAGAATTGTAAATTACCAATATAAAACCTGAGCAACAAATGACAAATGGGGATGTAGCTCAAATGGTAGAGCGCTCGCTTTGCATGCGAGAGGTACAGGGTTCGATCCCCTGCATCTCCATGCTTTTGACTCCAGGTCCTGGCAGGCATCTCTTTTAACCCAAACCTCCCAAGTTTTGGCTTAAATAGTCCAATTCTCTTTCTTCTGTTTTTTTTCACTGCTAATATCCATATTCAATGAAAATTTTACTTTAAAAATCTCCTTGCGATCAGATTGGCCCATGTATGGTGTTGATACAATGTCTAGGCCCATGGACATTGATATATGATTGGAAAAGATTTGAAATTCAGAGTAAAATTTCTAGATTTGGTTTTTTTTTTTTTTTCCAAAGAAAAGATCACTAGTTCATCATATTGTTCTACTTGCAGTGATAATTGGTTGAATGAAATTCAATTACAAGATAAGATAGTTGGGTACATTAGCATTACATATCACTTGCTGCTTGTAAATTAAGTCAAGCCCCTATGGCTATGAAAACCAAAGATCTGAATGCTGCAAGTGCTTATGGCTCTCCTTGGTATGCAAACAAGCCCTAGGCTTGGCGTCAGAAATATGGATGGACTGCGTTTTATGGTCCGGCTAGTCCTCATGGCCAAGCAGCTTGTGGCAAATGTTTAAGGGTATGTAATTAGAAATCTTTCACTTTTCATAAAGAGTAGCAGTTAATTCTTCGAATTCAACTCAATGACCATGTATATATGCTCATTTGCAGGTGACAAATAGAGGGAATGGAGCTCAAACAACAGTGAGAATTGCTGATCAATGCAGCAATGGAGGCCTAGATTTGGATGTTAATGTTGACAGTTTGATACAGATGGAAAAGGCAACTTTCAAGTTTCAAAGGCCACCAAATGGTGAACTACCAGCTTGTCAACTGTTGAGATTTGAAGCTGTAATCTGTTTCTCTGATGTAAAACTAGGAGAATAAAACAATAGAAAAAAGTGCTTCTTCCTTGAGAATTGAAGTACTGTTGATTGTGAGAGCCTGAATGATTGCATTAATACCTGTTTGTTTTTCACTTAACCTTCTATATATATATATATATATATATATATTTGCAAGCAGTGGAATATATTATATGATTTTGCATTTGCTTTTTGCCTCTTTCTACTTGCTCTATATGTTTGTGGGTATTATATTTTAGGTTGGCAGATGGGGATTCATAAACTGAAGTGAAAGACAACCTGGCAATGGCAGAGGAATTTATGGCATCAAAGGCTCTTCCGTAGACTTGTTACTTAAGTCTGAAAGTGAGCATGAGCCCTACAATTCAAAGGAAAAGAAACAAACACACAATTTAGGCGCCAAAGTTTTCCTTCCCTTTAAATTCACTTTTATCTACATTTCATCCCAATACTCTGACAAACCCCTTTCATCATTCAAAGGGACAGTCCAGACTCCTCATCCTCTTCCAGAGAAGAAACATAGGTAAAATACAATGCCCAAATCAAACCAAACACTCCTAAAAGGATCCATTCCAGAAGGTTGTTACTTAAACCAAAAGCAAGTCCTGTTCCGTCTGTGGACAGTCTCTCATCCACCAATGCCATGGCTGGTGCCGCGGTCGTGGTCACTGCTGCTGCTGCCATTAGTGATGCAACCATGCTGGAGTTTGAGCTCTGGCCGTTTACAGATGGCTTCTGCTCTAGCCTGCATCTAACCCTGCCATTTGTTGGCCATCACAGGCAATCCTAAACATGCAAGAACATGCATGAAAATGTCAAAATCCATTCTTAAAGACTAATTCATTTGTTTGTTTCTAACATTGAAGCAAAATCCTTCGAAGGGGCTCCAATTGTTCTGACAAAATATGAAAACAAAACTACATCTAGATCTTGATTTCCAATTCTTGAACTCACCTGATATCTAAATTTAAGGTAATATAAATATCTAGAACCTTGGAATTGCTAGACAAAAATATAAGTGTAGTATAGTGAACATGAAATACTGGAGTCTTACCAAGAACTGGGGATGATTAAACTTTGCTTGATCCCTTCAAAGTTGCTAGCTGTTATGGTTGCCATTTCTTTGAACTCAAACGAAGATCAAAAAATTAGTTTAGCGGGAAAAATGGGTAGATTTATATTATGTTAAAGTGGCAAATGGTCCCAATGGTACATGAAGTGAGCAGAGGCTAGGTGGTCAGGCCACCACACAAAATGGATAGATGGAAGCAACGATTTTTATATCCTTAATCCTTTAATGAACCAACCACTTCCATCCACATGTCACTCAGTATCAATTTCTTTGCTCAATTTTCAGATATTTCAGTTCACAAATTTGGCCGTTCTGGTCTGAAGACTGATTTTGTCTGGGGCAGGTGAAGGATAATGGGCTTCTAACCCTCTCCAAAATGTGTAACACGGCCCATAATCAAAGTGTTTTTTGGAAAGGTCAAACTAAATTCAACAAATCAAACCGTAAATATATGTTGACCCAAAATTAATTGGATAAGAGTAGCAATAGCTCAAGTTTCATTTTTGACAAAAAAAAAGAACTCCGAGGTTTTTTTTTTTGTTATATTAAGAGTATAAAATCTTAATATAAGTAAAGAAAAAAGGAGAGACATGAATCAAAACTAAATCTTTGATTTTTTTTAAACGTTTTTAATCACTAAATCAAAGATTTGATGACAAAACTCCGAGTTTAATTTCTTAAAAAAGTATCATGCCATCAGCTCGAAATGATACGTGAGAGACATTAAATTTTGATTTTCGATTAGAATATTTTAATTTTATATATAAATTATAAATTATTTATATTTGATATTTCTTTGAGAAAATGCATTAAATTCATACAAAAACTACATATTTAAAATCATTCAACAAGAGAATTAAACTCAACCAAAACTTAAAAAATTTCCAAATCTTCTTATAAAAAGTACTAAAATATCAATTGCTCAAACAAAAAAAAAAGAAATAAATGTTCATAAATTTATAATTAATTTTGTGAATAATTGACCTGTCAATTAAAATGACAATATTTCCCAAACTAGAATTAGTGGGGGGAAGAAAGTTATAGAAGTAGCTATGATTATAGTCACATAAGAGTAGACTAGAACAGTATTCTTCAACATATTTAAAATATCAATACCTGTTTTTCACGGAAAAACTTGGTCAAGAAAACGACAACTGAATAAATTTTTAAAAAATATCCATTTCTACCCCCTTTATTATGCCATGACCAAACAACATGTGATTTACATTTTTTTTTAATTACATATGGTTATGTAATAGGATTCTACCTTACATTATGTGGGTTTTTAAGCTTTTGTTGTGATAATTATTATGTTACCATTTTGTTTCAAGTCAAGCAATTAATGAAAACCATTATTATTTTAAATGCATATTTCCTTTTAACGTAAAAAATGAAAAAAAAATATTAATCAACTTCATTTAAAAAATTATTTAAATACGTCAATGAAACGAAATTGGGTATGAGAATTTGACTATCCAATTAAATCGACTTTCATAACTTTAAAATATTTTTTATTTTAATTTTATACTAAGGTATTGATTGCTCTAGAGTTCAATGAACCATTAAACCCTTTCCCTTCTAATTTTCAATCGAAGGGGATGGACTTAATTGTGCTGATGTTATCCAAATACAGCTTAAAATGCAATTGAACCAAAAAAAAAAAAAACTTTGAATTTTTAATATTTTTTATTTTTCCATGACCATATACTCTAGAAAAAAATTATAAAAAATGTATGCATAAATTTCCCCCTAAAATAGACTTATTTTGTAACATTATTTGTAAGATTATTACAAGTTAATCCTTCCAAGGCACACCTTCTCCATAACTTCCAACAAAAAAAAAAAAAAACAAATCTAAAAGCCTTTTTTTTCTTGCCCACAAAACGCAAACCCAACAAAACAAAACGAAACTCAAACGCAAACTCGAACACCCCAACGAATCACACAAATACCTTAAAAAACCCGCTGCTTTTCGGTTCTTTTTTTTTTTTTTCTCTTTCTCTTTTTGTGTCAAAAAATCCAACCAACTCCCACGTAGTTTTGCTCTTAATTTCACTTCCAAGAACCGCCGCTTCGTTCACATCTGTTTCAGATTAGATCTCTTTCATGTAATAATAAAGAAGCCGCTCTTTTTTTACACCAATACAAAGAACCACAACACACTTGTCAAAACCCAAAAATATATATATAATCCTTCAAACTTTTAAGACTTTTTCTTGGTTTTCTAAGAATTACCCACTATTTGTTCATGAATTCTCTTCTTCATGAAGCCAGTTTTAGCCTTTGAATGTGAACGAGGACAAGAGAAATATTAGGAGATAAAAGATGGCTGGTTGTCATCATCATATTGTCAAAGTGAAGAGGGAAACTTTAGTGTCATGCATGACATGTCCTCTTTGTAATAAGCTTTTAAAGGAAGCTACAACAATTTCCTTGTGTCTCCATACGTGTTAGTTTCTCTTTTCTTTGGTCTTTTGGCTGTTTTTCTTGATAATTATTGATCTGGGTTTTCTTTTCATTTGTCTTTGGATATTGTACTCTTGGTAGTTTTTGCTTTCTGGGTTTTTTTTCTGGGGTTTGTTTATTTTGCAATTTATTTGATTTGTTGTGTTGGGGTATGTCTTTCTTGTCTTGCATTCTTTAAACTGTACGTTTCAGATGTATTTGAATTCCCATGGCCGCAAAATTTCTGATTTTGTTATCCAATTCGAAATTCTTTTGATGTCATGACTATATGAAATTTGGGTATTTAATTTAATATATACTCTCTATTATTATGGCATGAGTTTTATTTTTCTTCCATCTGGTTGTTCTGGTCAATAATTCATTGTATTCTGTTTATACTTCTTTACCTTGGTTGCTTTCATGCATATACGTATGTACAGACTGCTCGTATACCTAGAAAACGTAAAGTCTTTTGTGTGCACTGGCGGTTTTGGTTCTATTATGGTATAATAGCCAGAGGATATGGCCGTCTCATATTGGAGAATTAGGATCTGCCATAATTTGCTACAAAGATTTTAGCATGGAAGACAACATGGTTACCAACTTTTCTGTCATATGCACTAAGAGCTGCCTTTTTCCTATGTTGGTATGTGGGCAGCTTTAATTTACTTCCTTTCAAGTTGAATAACAATGATGTCATCTTCAAAGGGGAATTTCATCTTCGCAGTGCTCTACAAAGTGCAATTTCTGCCAAAACCTTCAAAAGTGCCAAGATCTTCTGAAGGCTTGAAGGCCAACCAAGTAGACAGTAGCTATATCTGACTGTCATGAACAGTCAGATCCTGGATAAAAATATTGTGCATAGGATCTTGAGGTGGCGTATTCTGCCTTTCTGTATTTAAGCAAACTAAAAGTGAGACTGGTCTTACCTATACTGTAATGGCATCATGCTTAGGGTGTTTCTGTATTGTTATGTGCTTACTGGACAGTCTGAAGGAAAGGATGATACATCCTGTTGAAGAATTTATACAAAATATCGATGCCCTTCCTATTTCACTCTTATAACGATGCTTCCTTTCTTTTGTTGATTGAATTAAAAGATTGACACATAACTGCTTTTTTGTGCTCTTCTGGTTCACTTGATGTGCGAATTTTAAATTTCCAACCATGTATTCTTTGAATGTTGAAGAAGATATGCTTTCTGGTTCCTTATCTCTTCATAAACTTTTGTAATTCTCTGTTGCTTACTTTTGATGCACTGAACCTTGAAAACAATTCAGTCTGTAGGAAGTGCATATATGAGAAGCTCTCAGATGAGGGGATGGATTGTTGTCCTGTATGTGACATTGAGCTAGGCTGTCTTCCAGTTGACAAACTCAGGTGATTCATTTTGTCTATATAATTACTGCAACTGTCTCTGTATCTCCCTGCTGAGAAAAAAAAATGGTGAATAATTCAAAGCTTGTATTTTAGAAATATTTGAATTTTTCGTGCAAGTCTTTTATCAAACATATATCAATCAATTACAATCAAATAGAATTTGGAAAATGCTAGCAGTGGAATTGGAAAGTTCTAATCCCGTCCCGCAAAGAGATAATATATATATATATATATATGTATCAATCAATTACAATGTTGAAAACAACACTTTGCAAAAGCCAAATTTGGATAATTTTCCCGAAATATAGCTGAAGTAGACTTGTGTCTGGTGTAGTGTAATTTTGCTGTGTAAGCTATTGTCCGGGCATGACAAATGTATTGCCCTGTTGTATCAGTTTTAATGTTGTAAATTTCTGTTTTTATACACTTAGCCATTGTCTTGCACTGACAACATGTCTTTTGCTGCATCTTTGCTTCTCAATGACTTTGTATAAGTCCATTTGTGTCATTGGAATGCTGCTTACCTATGAGTTTTTTAGCATATTGCTTTTCAAATTATGTGCTGGCTAGATGCACCTATTCATGTGATGCTATGCAAGTTTTTAAAGCATGTGTAGGCACAAACTTATATGCAAACGTCTAGTCGGTCATGCTTATAATGAAGTTTTGTGTTGACATAAGCTCACGTGGTATTAGATTTTCCCATAAATAAATGCAGGCCAGATCACAATTTGCAGGATATAAGGGCCAAAATTTTCCCTTTCAAAAGAAGAAAGATTAGTGCTCCTGAGATTATGCCTTCAACATCACCTCCAGCAAAAAGGAAGGAAAGATCACTATCATCATTGGTAGTCAGCACTCCCAAAGTGCCAATGCAGAGTGGCTTGACTGGAAGGAGAACCAAAGCTACTGCACGTAAAAGAGTTGCTGCTTTTCGAGGATGTAATTTCTCGGTTGAGGAACCCCTTAAGAAAGAAGATTTTGCAGAAGGTCATCCCTCAGGCTCAAGCTCACCCGATTCCTTAAACAAAAATAGTCAAAGTAAAAGGCAGGTAAATGAGGCTGGAGAAAGATTCTTAACATATAAACTTCAAACTTAATTTTGTAGTGAGATTGGCCCTGTCAATATTGAAAACTTGTCCATCTTCCTTAAACTGATGCAGGATTCTTCCATGGTGCAACCTTCTAGTGAACACAGGCATAATGAAGATACAGATGATGTTGAAATGATGGAAGGCAAAGCAGATCTGTGGACACCCTTAAACTGTCTTGTTGAAGCTGCTAACAGAAAGTCATCTAAATTAAATTCACAGGGATCGGCAGCTTCCAAGGCTGAGCCACATAATGGCCCTGATTGTCACTCATCTATGCCTGAAATGCAAGCTGACCCTAAATCCCCCTCTGTTCCTGATGGCAAGTTGTGTATTCCTAAAACTAAGAGTAAGGAGCATGGACAGAATTCAAAAGTTCAGGATGAAGAGAATGGGACAAATTTGATTACAAGACCTGTGAAGCGTAGAAGGTTGCAAGCAGCAGCACAAAAGAAGGCAGCTGCCTCTGAGGAGCATGCTGCCTCAGCTAGAGTCATGCTAGACGCTTTGGGGGCTAAGTGGAATAGAAAAAATAGTCCAATTTGGTTCTCGTTAGTTGCTTGTGAAGACCGGTAAGCTACTGCAAACACTATATATATATATAAACTTACTAATGATTTGCCTTTTCAATATATTCCTTTCCTGCTTGAGCTAATATTGAAGGCATATTGCATTTTCCAATGAGGAGCTTCAACTTGAATATCTTCAATTCACCATATGATTTTATGAAATGGCTTCAGGATAGGACATACTTCCCTGCCACAGATTTCTGCATGCTACTTGAGGATAAAGTGAGTAGTTTGTTCGTATTAGCCACTTAGAAATCTGTTTTTTTCCCTCATTTAGATCTGCAGAGTTTGTGATATATTTTTGTACTTTTTGTTTATTATCGCAACTCTTAATTGTAATACTATTGCTTGAGTTACAAAAGTTAAGAAGGCAGCATAAAATTGTGATTGTGTTTTTTTTTTTTTTTTTTATAATTGATGTCTTTTTCTCTTGGTAACAGGGATGGCAAAATGCCTGTTTCATTCATCCAAAAGTACCTTGTAAAGAAACTTGATCTTACAAGTGAAGCTGAGGTGAGATTACCTTTACCAGGTTTCTTTTTTCCTCAGAAAGCTGAGGCTGCCTAAATTGCATCATTCTGAAATACAGATACTATTTTGCTGTAATTTTATGTTATTATGTTGCTTCAGGTGTGCCATTTATCTTTTCTTGTTTTCTGAAACTTAGAAGCAAAAGCATTGATGACACTTTAGGCTTTAATTCCTTGGTGGATTGCACCTTGTAGGTAGATGTTTGTCCGTACTATAGTTCTGGACTATTCTTTGACTCCTTTCTGGGTTTGATAAAGGAGTGAAAGATTCTTTGTTAAGATGCATGTTTATTCTTATTTCTTGCATCGCTCCTTACCCATATTACCTCTTTTTCTAAGTTTTAACCCAGAATAGTCTTGTTTACCGGTTTCTTCAACTCATGCAGTAAATCCACTTTATCTACTTCTGTAAAGCATTTGGAAATTAGCAACATCTAAACGGTCCATAGTATAGGCATGTTTTGATGACATTAGCAAGACTCGTAACCTGTCAATGTGTTTTCAAATAAATAATGCAGTACCTTTTTTGCTATCAAGTCAGTTTTAATGCAAAAGAAGGAAGTGATGTTTACTGGCAATTTATCTTCATTGTGTTTCATGTGAATGCTTTATGTAGGTGGAGATCATGTGCCGGGGTCAGCCTGTTCTACCAACATTACAACTTCATAACTTGGTAGATCTGTGGTTTCGTACTGCATCAACGGCGAAAAAAGTTCCAGCATTCGTTGGCTCCTCAGCTAAGGACTTTGTTATGGTTCTATCATATTGCCGAAAAGTCTAGGCTCCTTGAGGCATCCATCTAATTTTTCCATGTTTACCTTTAAATCACTTGAACTCCGATCATCTAAATATATGTTTTGTAAGATCATCATAGTTGTATACTAGTTTGCTGTCATGTATGTCAGTACCATGCATGTAATACACCTGAATCTATTGAATTTATTTTCTTTCAGTCATAGCAAATCCTAAACAAGATTGTGAAGTTGTCTTCAGCTATGAGATTGTGAAGAAACAGGGTGCAATGAAAGCAAACCATGTGTCAGAGCACAAGTTGATGGTGAATTCATAATGTGTTTTATGAACTGTCTTAAGTTTGTTTCCATTGCTGATTTAGTAAGCATAAAAAAATATAAAATTATCCTCTAGATATATGGACAACTTAGATATTATGCATTTCATTCAATAAGTTTCACAGTCCAAGTGTTGCTGATCATCCTCTCGGAGCAGCTACCGATTCTCACCTTGGTAAGCTATTGAATCGGCCCCTCCTTGGCCGGATTCCTCCTCTTGCTTTTCAGCTTCCAATATAAAAAACAATTAAATAATACTCTTATAATATGATATGATATTAGTAACATGGTTTCATTTTTTATTTGAGAAAAAAAAATTCAAACCTTGTTCTTTGAAACATGAGAATCAAATATTCGGATAAAAAACTTATCCAGTCAAATATTACATTTGCATTTGAATTTTTAAATATATAAGTTTCTTTCAATTGAAAAAGCTCAAACACGTTTCTTGGGGCAAGCCCAAAACTATAGATCCAAAAAGGGTCCAAAACCCGAAAGGCAAAGATACGGAAACAGAACAAAACTGGAAAAGAGTCTCACTTCAAATCCGAGTGAGAGCTTTTGTTGTCATTCACCTTTGTTCAGAATAGTCTATCGAACCAACCATGCAGCAGGTATTCTCCAAAAACCCTTATTAAACCCTTCTTCTTTGTTACATATTTTATTTGTGTTTCACTCAATTGTCTTTTTGGGTTTTATAAATAACAAATGATTTGAAGGGTCCTGGAGGATCTGAGACGGAGGTTACTTGGGAAGATCAACAGAACATCAACAAATTTGGAAGATTAAACAATCGGTTTCATGAGCTTGAGGATGAAATCAAGACTGCCAAGGTATTCTTTTGGTTTGGGTTTAGAGGATTTTTTTTTTTTAAAACTTTTTACCGTAATTTTTTATGTGGGTTTTGTGGTTTTGCTTATTTTGATGTTTTAAGGTAGTTTCTTGATGCATATTTGTGAGTTTTAGAGTCAGTTTGGTCACTTTTTCTTAGGGGAAAATTGCCTCTTTTACTTTTAGTTTTTCTTTATCGTTATTGTGGATGTGAGTTAGAATTTGCTTTGCTGAATTATGTGGATATTAAGAAATGAAAGAAATAGCGTTTGCTTGTCTGATTGCATAGAGATTGGGAAGAACATACTGAATTTTCTGAATCATAGAGTAGCTCTATTACGTTAATTCGGCTGGCTAGAAAGTGAGTTATGTGATATTTATGTGGTAACAATTTGAGTCTCAGAAAAAGGAAAAACTGAAACTGCTGTTCTAGCTTCTCTTCTTATTGATTATCCCACTTTTATCTCTAGTGTCTAAAACAAGTTGTCTTCATATCCTGCAGAAGAGCCTTTAACTTATTAAATTTTTGTTCCATCTGACCAAATTGTTATCTTCATTTTTTCCCATTTTAGAAACTGTTTGGACTCCCCATTCCACCATAAATTGCTGCTTTTACCCCATTGAAATGTGGGTACAATCTTATGGGATTTCATTTCCTGACAGTAGTGTTTTTTTTCCCCAGGAAACAAATGATAACCTGGAGGATGCAAGTAACGAGTTGATTCTAACCGATGAGGAAGTAGTACGGTTCCAAATAGGAGAAGTCTTTGCTCATGTGCCCAAGGAGGAAGTGGAGACCAGGATAGAAGAGATGAAGGAAGTTACCAGCAAGAACTTGGAAAAACTCGAGGAGGAGAAAGAATCAGTGCTGGCACAAATGACTGAGTTGAAGACGATTTTGTATGGCAAGTTCAAGGACTCCATCAATCTAGAAGAGGATTAATAGCATTGAGTTGTTTTCTGCCCTGTAGTTTGATTACTGCTTGCTTGTGTTTGGTATTATCTTCCTTTTCTTACAGCTTTGCTTATCTTTTATTTCGAAGTTGGTTATTGAACCTTAAAACATCTTCCTGGATATCTTCTTTATAATAAACCCGATCGATGGATGAATGAAATGAATTTGAGCTGATACCTTTTGAAAAATGCTATGAAAGAATATGATTAGTGACTGTTCTGCGCTACACTATGCAACTTTATTGGCCACGATATTTTGTCAAGAGTAATAGTAAAACTAACCGCCCATTAGCTCCTCCAGATGTTGTCAAAGAACTAAACCAGGCATGCCTTGCAACTGGAAATATGCTGTTTAAGTGTTGGAGTACGTAGGATAACAAAAACATGGGCACTTGAAGCTTCAAATTCATAAAGAAATCTATTGGAGCTTGCAACAATAATGTATAACGCACTAGCAGAAAAGAAAACTTTCATATAAGCAAATACTGCTAGCAACAACGACCATTTTTGCCTTGAAGTAGGATTCGGGTAACATTTGCAATTACTAATCAGGTCTCACGATTCAGAAGGCAGACCCAGAATATGACAATGCCGACGGTCAAATGGTAAACTGGCTACTTAAAGAGATGCAAGCTACTCCATAATCCAGTTATTGGTACAATCAGAGATAAAATTTAGGAGCCACAGGCCAGCAAATCTAGTACCCCATTCTTTCTTAAGCTAGATGAGGAAACCAAATTCTACCTGTTAGCGCCAAAAGACAATGGCACTGGAAACCATATCATAAAGTGCTAAATCACAAAAAAAGGATCACAATCATTGTAAACTAATGGGAATATAATGCTTGGATAAAGCCTTTGGCAACCTCCACTATTACACAATACTGAATGAAAATTGTAAAAAGCCAATGATCATGCTGTGACAAGCTGCTAGCATAGCTAGCCATAGTCAAAAAGCCATTATGAGACATGCTTTAAGAAACCAAGTTTGCACGGAAAGAACTATAAATTTGATTGATCATTAGATTCATTCAGATTGTGCTACAGCAGAAACCAATAATTATTGATTACACTCGAATGACTAAAGCAAAGTTCCTTGTAGGATCAGTACAATTAAGGTAACAAACTAATCACTTCTCAGTTTCCATACCAACAATGCAAGTAAGAAAATGCCAGTGTCATACTTGTCGCTTTGTAACATAGCATTGTCCATACAGCCACAAAATTTAACTTAATGTTAATTGGCAAAAGTGCAAAATCCAGCCTCACCATCAAATGAGCAGCCACAACATTCTCCTCTGTTTCCACAATATATGAAGTACACCATTATGCCACAAGATCTCGCCACCTTTGAGCTACAACCAATGAGAAGGAAATTCAAAACAACCTGTGATACCCACTTCTAATCCAAGCCCCAATAGTGCAACTTTGTTATCCGATAAAAGTGGCAACTTCAGATGAAGAATGATCAAGGGATCATTTCGTGAATGAAATAAGTAATGCCTCAAATATTAACCACTAAAAGGATCATAAATAGACTTCCAATCCTAGCTCCACAATTATAAACAGAAAATACCAGTACCAGAAACATGATCTCCATCATACCAGCTCAAGTCAAATCCCCAAAAACCACCAAATTTCATAACAATTTCAAACTAAAAACACCATGATACCAGCTCTAATTCAATTTCAAAGAATGCATGAATGCAGCACGTAAGGCCTCAAATACCATCTTCCTCAAAGCTTAAATCAATAACACCATAACCACAAGCCAGTCCTCAACCAAAATCCTAACCACTCATTTAGCAAAAATGAAACAACCATTCTCCTAATCCAATTTTCACATTCGCAAAGCAATAAAACCCCCAAAACCACAAACCACTTCAAATCAAACCCCCAAAACACTACTTTCCCAACAATTCAACACCAAAAAAAAATCCAAAAATCAAATCCTATTATATCCAGAAGTAGGCCTCAAAGGCTGACTTCCAACAACAGAAGGCAACCCATTTTCCTCCTCTACTTCCACAGAAAAACCAAAATCTTCAGTTCCTCTGAAGGCAGCATGAACACCTACAACAACCACCCCAATAATCAACCCCACTAAAACATTAACACCCACATGAGTCAAAACCAATAAAAGCACGGTAGCGAAACTCAAAACCCCCAAAACAATATTATCATCCACCGTTTTGTTGAAAACAACAACTGGGTTGTCATTAAAGAGGTAAAAAAACCACCAGAATATGAAAGTTATCAAAAAAACGATCATTGAAGTTGGGTGCCAAAGGAGAGTTAAGAAAACGATTGTTAGCATTATGATTACGTAGTTTACGCGGAAGTAGGAAAGGTTTAGCTTTATCCGGGTTTTGGCTTCGGCGGAGGAGATGGGGAGGGAGAAGGAGGAGATGGAGAAGAGTTCTGGCCATGGGCGGCGCGTGCGTTTGGCGCTTGTGGAAGTGGAGGTTGGAGTGGAGTTGATGGTGCCGTAAGTTGTGGTTGTGGGTGACATTTTTTATGGGTCTTTTGCTTGAAGGAAGAATAGTTGGATCTTGAAAGAATTGGGCAAAAGAGGAGAAAGACTGAAAGAGAGAGAAAAGTTCGGATTTTTTTTTTTATTTTTTATGTGTGAGAAAATTTTTTAAAGGAAGAAAAGTGAAAGGTTTTTATTTTCTAATTTATATTTTTTAAAATTTTGATTTATATCTGTTACCAAAAAAAAAAAAGATCTTGCTTTATGGAATTTGTATTCTTTTTCCCCTAAATTCTGACCAGTGTCCTTTTCATTGAAGACATTAGCTTGGAAAAAATTCAAAAAAAAAAAAAAAAAACCTGACAAGTGGGAAGAAAATGAAAGAAAAATCCAAATCATTGATAACTAATCAATTTATAAATTTATCATATAGCATTTAAAGGTTAATTGATGGCATAATCTCATTCGGGGCAGGACAAGGTGGAGTGAAGAGGAAAAGGAAAGAAGGATTTGCTTGAACTAAAATTTTGCGGAGTATAAGAAAGTGCAGAATATTCAGTTCACTCACGAAACTAGGATGAATGAATGAATGAAGCATGTAATTCTCATGGAGACTACTAACATAAATTGCTCAAACGTGCTTCTATTTACATTCTCATGATCATAACTTCCTGTTGTGCTGTTTCTACTAACAAACATCCCCTTCAAATGTAATCTTCAACCGAAAAAAGTTCAGCAGGGTGCACTCATCTTCTCAAATCTTGGTGTATCAGCTTAGAAACTAACTAGATTTTTCCTCATCTGCACCATGAAACTTCCTCCCTGCTTCAACAGCTTCCCCGTAAATTTTGCAAACTAATTGAAGAAGGCAATATATATCTTACAGCCAATGCAGAAACAAAACTAGAATTATCTAGTCGCCTATGCACTAGATACAGCAAGAATATAACAGCCTTTATCCACAAAAAATTTAGATGGGCATTGGCATATAGCATTCATATCCTTAATAGTGGAGAATATCAGTATAATCATGAAACATGAAATCAAATGTCAAAATGTTGTGACTCTCATCTATATCACTTGTGTACTTGAAAAACACTCGTTTTTTTATTTTTTTGTCCCCAACAGGTCCTTCACATCTTGCCTATCTATACCTCATCTATTTGGTAATTTCTCTTCTAAAATTTTCATCTTACAAGCATTTTATTATTAGTGAAAAAAAGTGTCCAACATAGTAGAGAACTAAGAAGATGCAAAACCTGAATCAACAAGTCCCGAGTGTGCAAGTGAACCTGCTGCCACAGCTGACAACAATGGAGTGATATCATCCTCAGTTTCAGCATTTAGCTGCAACAAGTAATCATCATAAGCAGTGACAGAGAAACTCAATCAAACAAACTACTAAAAACAGAAATCTCTAAAGAAAACACAAAAATTCTCTAGTCCCTAGAATTATTCTATTTCATATTAAACTATTCTAACATGAAAAGAAAACCCACATTAGCATGACGATCTAATAGAACTTTTACAGCATCATGCTGACCATGACCAGCAGCCCAAACTAAAGGGGTGCCAGCATCACTTTGTGAATCAATCTCAACACCTTTGGCCGGTATAGACTTCAGCAACACAATATTTCCTGCAAGCAAGAAGTAGTAAATCGGAAGTAAGAATCAAAAAGATTGGTTAGGAAAAGAAAATAATTAAGGGAGGTCAAATGGCCCTGGACAATAGCAACTAAAGCAATCATTCTCTAGTAAACTATGCAACAATGAGCTATGGACTATGGACCATAGTAACAGCAACATCATATTGAAATCAGATTAGTGCACTACCACATCAGAATTGAAGAAATAATTAGAAACCACCCCCCATCCTAGGAAAAGGAACAAACAAGCTAAAGAGAACGCACCTATTCCAGCTGCATGATGTAAAGCAGTAGCACCTAAGTCACTGGGTATAGCAGGAATGGCACCATGCTCTAGAAGGTATTTTGCAGTGACAGTATGACCTTGCCAGGCAGCGTGAAGAAGAGGAGTCTCACCTGCATTTTATAAGTAATTCAAGAAGATAACACAAAGAATCTTTAGCACATAAAGAACAGAGTATTAAGAAAATTTTTGAAAATCAAATGCATACCATCTTCATCTTAAGTATTTGCACACTTCAGTCTTGCCCTCTCTTGCTGCAAAATGAAGTGCCCCTCGTTTGTTGGCATCCTTAATATCTGCCACTGTTTTCACCAGTCCCTTCCTCCCCTCATCAAGTTGAGCACCAATCTCTACTCAGACAAATATCAAAAAGTCCAGAAAAACACAAAAGCATTTCAAATTAAACATTTAACTCTTGGAAAAATAAAATAAAGACAAAACATGAATTGCCCTACTCTTGAGAAGATCAAGATTCCCGGTACAAGCAGCATTCAAAAAGTTTTGAACTTTCTGCCTCACTGCAATCAAAATATCAACAAGTTTCCAAAATTTTAAATCTTCAAGCTATTGAATTTTGAGATTCAGAGTACAAAAAACAAAATTTTTCTTTGGCTAAACTATATATAACCCAAAAATTCATAAACTTCCATCTATATTACACACCGACAGAAATAGAAAAATTCCCATTAAAGCATTCAACTCTTTTGGCTCCAAAGAAATCAAATTCCTAACTTAAATGAATCTAAAAACTAAAGATTTAAAAAAAAAAAAAAAAAACCAATAAAACAATGGAAAACTATATGCATAAATATAAATAGCTGAAGAAAGTGGGAACCTACAAGGGCAGCTGAAGCAACAGGAGCCATGGTTGCTGTTGCATTTGTAAAACCCTAAACAGATTTCTTTTTTTGTGGGTTTGTTCCGAAAGTAGAGAAAGTTACTGACTTGACTTGAAACACTAGGCTCTTCCCTTACTTTCTGTTATGCTAAGAAGAAGTTCTGGGGGTTTTAGGTTTACAACAGAGGAACAAGTTGTGCTAATTATAATGACTGAAAAACAAAGAAGATTGAAAATTTTTCCTCTTTTATCCCTTCAATCTTATTTTTCTTCACAAATTTCTTTATGGTATATTTTTGCTATTATCTATGTTGCAAAATTTTCTTTTTATAATTAATTAAAGTCCAATTTTTTATTTTTGGCATTATTTCTTTAATTTAGAAATAAAAAGTTTAGGTGACAAATTCAGTCTTTTTTGTACATGATTGTAATGGTAGGTATGCATATGCAATTTTTTTGTTTTCCTGCAAATTTTATTCTCAGAAGATTAAACCCAAAATTTATTTAGCCCCATCAGTTTGGCTAGGGGGATGGAATATTGGAATACAAGCTCGGATTATAGAACTGGGTCCAAGAAATCCTTGATGAAACTACTGAAAGCTATGCCCTCATTACAATTGCATTGGAGATGCAAGGAATTGGAAGAGCATACTAGAAATGTTGTTTTCAGGCTGGAAATGTTGCAAAAACCATCAATCATACTGGAAAGTTTGCAAAAAAAAAAAAAGGATCTAAAAAGCTGGTATCAATTCAACTGAAAAAACATTAAATGGTAACAATTGAAATGTACATTCCCTCAGTCCAAATTTCAAGGCCAAAAAAGCCAAGTGGTGTTGTTTACATCAGACACTGTGACACAAATTTTGGCTACAAATCATGGTTTGCTCAAAAGAAACCTTAAAGAAAAATCAAATACTCATTGGAAGAATCCGATGGCAGAAACCTCTCTAACCAAACATTTCCCTTAAGGCCAAATGTCAATCTCTCAGATGACTGACCTTATGTTTTAAAAAGAAAAAAAAAAGATACCCAGAAATGCTGCACCATTTTCCTTAATAGGACATTTTTCAGTTTTTTTTTTTTTTGTTTAATCAAAGAAAGAACCTAGACAATGAAGCCAACCTCTCTCTCTCTCGCTTACTCTCTTCTTTTCTGACTCTAGATTTTTTTTCTTTTTTTTTTTTGTTTTCTCTGCCTCTTTACCAGCCATCTCACACTTCAAGATGACTGCATCAGAGAACATGCCACAGCCTGCGCCCAATGCCTTAGCTTAGTCTTCAATTGCTGAGGATCATCTCCTGGAAAATGGAAATATGTAGCAGCAAAATCAATATTGCAAGATAACAACCAACCTGATTTTGTTGTTAAATAAGATTTTGACCCTTATATTTGTGCAATTTCATAGCCTGTGACCATATATATTTTTTTTCTTTTTATTGGTTTATGTGTTTTTGGCATTGAGAAACTTTACCCGGGCTGCAAATTTTCCAATCTGGCTCACTTCTTGGACTTCCACAAGAAGATGACCTGCAATCAAGTGATGATGTTGAGGATGAACCTCCGCTTTGAGGGGTTGAAACTGGACTAGGAGAAAGCTGACGGTTTACAGCAAAATAAAGGTCTAAAGCTGGCAATGTATTGCATAGTTTTTGACCTTCTTCCTCATTGAATCCGAATCCAAGCTCTATGCACCCTTTAAGTTCATACAGGTCTTCATCAGTCAAGCCGTTAGTTACAATAATCCCATTCTTTCCTCTCCCCTGACGAAGAATCTGGCGGCGCCTTCTTTCCCAAGCTTTGTCCCTGGAGGTCTCACACATTGATAACTGCTTGGATAAACATCTCTTGTTTTTCATCAATGGTGATGGCACCAATGGCATACGTTGCAAGTCTTCTGTTTCTGACTCACATAATGATGTCGATGATGAGGATGATGAAGACGTAATGACCTTTGTGATTTCCTCTCCGTCCTTCACCATTTTCTTCAAAGGGAAGACAAGTTTGTATTGTCCTGACAAATTTTTTATCTATATTTACGGAGAGATACCTTAAAAGCAATAAGCTTCTTCTTCTTTCTTGTTTCTATCAGTGGAACACAAAGAGAAGCTTATTGCCTCTCACCGGCCGCGGCAGCAACTGAAGCTGACGCGGCCAGCAATGGTAAAAATGTGAGGGATGGGGGTGGGGCACTTTTGGATTGAGCTATATATTGCAAATTCGGAGTGTTTGTTTCTGTTAACTTCTTGATTGTTTTGTTTGATGAAAACAACACCAGCCCAACCAGGTTAAGCCAGAAATGATTTGGAGGGCTTTAATGGAGGAACAAGGGGTTGGCATCCATTTGGGGGATTTGGCTTTTAATTCAACCATCCATTTGTAACTGTAAATTGCAATCCCCACAATGTTATATTTGGAGAGTAGCAATACCAATTTTGGAGGGGGAAAAGGGGGAGTCCTGCTATGTCTGTTAGGTAGAGGGATGGCTCAGCTACATTCTAAGATTCTATTTGCTAAAAGAATTGTCCTATACAGTTCATACCGGCTTTTGCGGATGGTTAATAAAACGAGAAACCATTTGAAATAGAGCCAATGGCATGCATCTTCCTTCACATCGCAACACAATTCTGCAAATTTTATTTCCCTGAATCAAAGAAGTTTGCACTTTGCTGTCTGTTGTCTTGTGTAAAGTCACTAGTGGGATTAACAACTTCCATTAATACCAAGAACAGACACTGCAATTTGCCAGGCTCGAATTTACTTATTCGCTGTATTAAGTAAAATTTACTAACAAATCAAGATTCTGATGTCTGCAACATTTTAATATCAGACAATTCAAAAACATTTTGTGCAACTCCTATAACTTGAGATTGAAACATGCCCTTCGGACATTGCAGACCAGACTCCCACCTTTAATTTTATGCATATTTTTATTAGTTTAATAATTATTATAATAACTTTATGTTATAAATATATTGTAAGAAATGTAATAAAAGAACTAAGAAATAAAATGAAAGTGAGCGAAGTTTATTTTTCTTTTTTTCTTTTTTCTTACAAAGGAGATCACAGTCTGATATAAAAAAAAGGATTGTAAGTACTGAAATTTTAGATGCCAACTTTTAACTGTGATTGCACGAACAACTGAGCTAAGCTTCAGTTTGATTTTCAATTTAGTGACAGCCTCAACAATCTAAAAGTCTGTAGCAAGTAGAATTTTGAGGAGAACGATGTTAAATTTAGCATTTTGTTTAGAATTTAAAGGGAATTCAAACAATTTAGAACCGATCAAATACCTACAATCACATTTCTCACTCTCCATCATCCATTTCCAACAACCTTTCTCAACAATCATCCTGTTTGGTTGGGACAAGGAACCAAAGAATGGAAAGCAAAAAGAATTGAAACCATAATACAAAAGATAATAAAACCTCCTTCTCTTTCCTGGTTTGCTTCCCTTAATCCAGGCAAGCCCCTGCCAATGTTTGAGTTTCCATGGGAGAGTAAAGATGGCAGGGTAATCCCATCAACTGTAAAAGAAAAAGAACAACAAAAATAGTAGCCAGTTTAGGCGTACAGGAGAACTTAAATTTGTTCTTCTGTCTTGCTTTTGTTTACCTGTACGCCATTGAAAGCTCTTAGTGCTTTCTTGGCATTTCGGACCATGACAAACAGAAACCATATTTTATCTTCTGTTGTTTGGTTTTCTCTCATTTTCAACGTCATTGTTGTATCAAGTCAGCCTTTGGCTGTGGACTGTGGCTCCAAGGGTGGCAAAGATGAAGATGGGAGGACATGGGAGCCAGATACCAAGTACCTCCTTCAATCAAATAGTTCTGTTCAACTCCAAGCTGGATATCAAGACCCTTCACTTCTGTCTACAGTCCCATACATGAATGCCAGAATCCTCCCATCCCCAGCAGCCTACCAGTTTCCTATAAAATCAAAGGAACGGTATCTGGTCAGGTTTCACTTTTATCCTTCAGCTTACCCCAACTTTAATATCAGCAATTCCTATTTCTCAGTGGCTGCTGGAGGGGTCACCCTTTTGAACAATTTTAGTGCTGCAATTACATGTCAAGCCCTTACACAGGCTTATCTTGTTAAAGAGTATTCTTTGGCACCTTCGGATTCTGATGTTTTAAACATTACCTTGACACCTTCTACTAACTACACCAACTCTTTTGCTTTTGTAAACGGGATTGAATTGATTGCCATGCCAAATTTGTTTGGCATGACAAATATGGTGGGATATGATTCATCAAGTGTTGATGTTTCAACAGAGAATTTGCAGATGATGTTCAGACTGAATGTTGGTGGGCAATCTATCTCTCCTAGCAAGGATGCTGGAGGCCTTTTAAGGAGTTGGTATAATGATGATCCTTACCTGTATGGTGCTGCAATGGGAGTCAATCTTGAGGCAAGTAAAAATGTTAGGATCGATTACAAAGATCTGTCAAAATCTTCAGCTCCAGAAGATGTTTACAGGACCGCAAGGGCAATGGGCAGAGATTCTAAGTTGAACCTAAAGTTCAACCTTACATGGTTATTTCAGGTTGATGCCAATTTTACATACATTGTAAGATTACATTTTTGTGAATTCCAACTTGACAAAGTGAACCATAGAGTTTTCAATGTTTACATCAACAATCAATCTGCTCAAGCTGATCCCAGTCCAGCTGATATAATTGCATGGACAGGTGGAAAGGGAGTACCAACATACAAAGATTATGCTATAGTTGTCTCTGATGGGCCAGGTGATGAAATGGTTCAGATAGATGTGACTCCATCAACCGCATCAAAACCAGAATACTATGATTCTCAACTCAATGGAGTTGAGTTATTCAAGTTGAATGATGGGAGCAAGAATTTGGCAGGCAGCAATCCACAACCATCAGCCATGCTTCTTCAAGCAGAGAGTGAGCCTAAAAAGTCTTTCAAGTCCGATAGTGATATAATTAGAGGGGCTACAGGAGGAGCTGCTGCTGCTTTTGTGGTGGTTGCATTATTAGTTGTTGCCTACACAAAGAAGAAGCGATTCCATGGGGTTGAATCGCATACATCTAGCTGGCTACCAAGTTATGGGAACTCCCATACAACGGGAAGCAAATCAGATGGCAAGAACAATAGCAACCATCTTTCCACACTGGCTGAAGGTCTATCTCGCCATTTCTCTATATCAGAAATTAGACAAGCCACAAAGAACTTTGATGAATCTAATGTCATTGGAGTTGGAGGCTTTGGTAAGGTTTATAAAGGAGTTATCGATGGAGGCACCAAAGTGGCTATTAAGCGATCCAATCCATCATCAGAACAAGGAATAAATGAGTTCCAAACTGAAATTGAGATGCTTTCAAAGTTGAGACACAAACATTTGGTTTCTTTGATTGGTTTCTGTGAAGATGGTGGTGAAATGTGCTTGGTCTATGACTACATGGCTCGTGGAACTCTTAGGGAGCACCTTTACAGCAACAAGAAATCTCATCTGTCATGGAAACAAAGGTTGGAAATCTGCATTGGAGCAGCCAGGGGACTTCACTACCTCCACACAGGAGCTAAGTACACCATCATTCACAGGGATGTAAAGACAACAAACATTCTCTTGGATGAAAATTGGGTTGCCAAAGTTTCAGATTTCGGGCTCTCAAAAACTGGTCCTGACATGAATCAAGGCCATGTGAGTACAGTGGTAAAAGGTAGCTTTGGTTACTTGGACCCTGAATATTTCCGACGGCAGCAACTAACTGAAAAATCCGATGTCTACTCATTTGGTGTTGTCCTCTTTGAGGCATTATGTTCTAGACCAGCTCTGAATCCTAGCCTTCCAGAGGAACAAGTTATTCTTGCAGATTGGGCCCGTCATTGTCAAAAGAAAAGAGTTCTTGAAGACATCATTGATCCTCATTTGAAAGGAAAGATAAATCCAGAATGTCTGAAGAAGTTTGCAGATACAGCAGAGAAGTGCTTATCTGATCATGGACTTGAGCGCCCTCACATGGGTGATGTGTTGTGGAATCTTGAGTTTGCTCTCCAATTGCAAGAAACAGCAGATGGTTCGAATCCCGGTTCGAGTTCAACAAGTGATCAAGGCAGTGTCCATTCAACAGATTCTAGTGTCAGAAGCCAAAAAGGATTACATGAAGACAAGCTCAGCCTTGACAATGAGCATGAATTGAATGAGGAAGTTAACAATGAGAGTGCCATCTTCTCTCAACTTGTCAACCCAAAACGGAGGTGAAGGAAAAAAAACATCCTGGAAAACTGATAAGGGCGTCATTGATGACCTGACAGTGATCAAGAAGGGAAGCCATGGATGAGCTCAGGCATTACAAAAAGATCAACATTTTCTTTGGTCTACTTAAGAGGGAGATATGTTTATATTGTTTGTATTTTGTATTATTTTCTTTTTGCATTGCATAATATCAGACAGGCCATATAAATCAAAGTTCCCCCATATTTTACTTAAATTTAGCTGTGTTTTTTCAGTATGAATTTACTATGTTACAAACTTTTGTAGTACTACTATTTTCTTGGATTAATTCTTCAGTCTCATTTTCATCACCAAATGAATTTCAAGAGATACTTTTTTTTGGCAATCTTATTTTGATTCACGAAATTTCTTCACATTATCATAAGAATCTGAAATTCATGTAATTTTTAGATGGTATGAACTATGAACTTTCTTAAAGATATTCTCCAATATTCTCCTTTATGAGTTTATTGCAGCCTTATCCATGAACTTGTTTTGAATCAAACACTATTTTTAAAAATTTTCAGTGATCACGTCACAATGGCGAAGAACAAACCCTCAAACTTTCAGCTTTAGGTATAAGTTCATATTCCATTAAAATATAATTTTAATTCAACTTTACATCGATATGTTTGGCATGCTTATTGATTTTTTTAAATGTAATAGTTATATTATATATGTTTATTGTTATACTTCATAAATTCGATATTTAATAAATTAATTCATATAATTATTATTAAAAAATAATGTCAAATAAATTTAGATCTATCATCCCTTACGAAAATTAAAGACTCCATAAAAAAATGTTATATTTTTTAACTATTATTCTCTTTGTATATTTAATGGAAGTTTGGATTCTATCGCATTAGAAATGCGATGTAATTAAGCTCATCACACCACCATTTAAATTTAAACGTCA